CGCGGGAACAGAGGTTTGACGACAGAACAAAGAACCAAAATGACGGTTCTCCGTCCCTTCGTCAAACCTCTGTTCCCGCGGAGCTACAAGACCACGGCAGCCGACGTCTCCAACGGAGAGGTCAAGGCCCTCGCCCAGCAGCACAGGGAAGCGTGCTCAACGGGGGACGAGGGCAAGGCGATCGAGCTTCCCGGCGCGCGGATGACCGCGCTCGCATCTCCGCGGACGCTTCTCTCGGAAGCTCAAGTGAAGTGGTGAGGAAATATTGAGTCAGTCTCTCGTGGTAACGGCGGCGGACGAGAGCATGCGCTCCAGCGGAAACCGGAATCGGCGTGATTTCGTGAAAGATGTTTGTGGAATACCGTGTGTAGTAAACGCGTCGTTGATTATGGAGCGGGCGGGAGAGAGCAGTACAGCAGGTGATCAGACTTGAAAGACCCCAAGTGCATGTTGTCTGGTGGTTGGCCTTAGACATGGGATACATGGTGGGCTACTGCTACTTTTGAACAGGCCAAAGGTTGCTTGGAGTTGCGTCGGGGCGCCGACGCAGACGCTTCACGATACAGAGATAGAAAGATTTCGAACGAAGATGTATGTACACAGGGGTGCGAGGTGGGGCTAGCTTCTTGCACAGGAGCGTCGTATTTACACGGGCGTTGTAGTGAGCAACTGCCGTACACCAACCGCGCGGAAAACTGTTGTTTCACAAGCAAGGGGGTTGCGCGTATGCACCCATACACACACACACCACTCTCGCAACATGATGACGTTTTCGTCAGGTGCTCAGGCGCCGCATTGCAACCGCATGCGTCATGCGCTTCGATTATGTCTGTCATTCGCACCTCGGGTCTTCGCGGAACGGGGGCAGCCGGTGGTCCCCGAGATGCGCTCTACCTCGCGAGAAAACTGAACGATCGTCACATCCATCAACGCGAACGGCGCCGTGTTGGCCCCTACCATCATCTTCAAAGGGCAACGCTTCAACGAAGATTGGGTCGTGGACAACACCGGCCCGCCGGGTGCGACGTATACTTGCACGGAGTCGTCCTTCATGTGTGGTGACGTTTTCATCAAGTACATAAAGGACTTCCACAAGCAGCTCTGCCTGCGCAACTTGCTCGACGGAAAACCCCATGTGCTCGTGCTGGATGGCACCCGTCGCACGTGAGATCGGACGTCGTTGAGTTGGCCAGGTCCCTCGACATCCACCTCGTCCAGCTTCCCTCCCACATGTCTCACATCACCCAGCCCTTGGACGTCGCCGGCTTCGGGTGTTTCAAGAAGGAGCTGACCAAGGCGATCCAGGCCTTCCCGGCGACACACGGAGGGGCATTGCTGCGGAAGCGGGACATTGCCGCCGTGATCGGGCAAGCGTGGAGCACGAGCTTTACCCCGGAAACCAACAGGGCTTCCTTCGCCGGGGCGGGCCTGTGGCCGGTGGACAGGGAGCGAGCACTCGGTCGGCTGCTTCACCCGAAGAGGAAGGCGAGGGACACCGCCCTCCCCTGCAGGACGTCCCCATCGCCGTGGNTGGCCGCAGCGAGGGAACGGGGGGGCGTGGGCGAGGAGGTGGCGGTCCTAGCCGCGGTGGGAGAGAGGCGCGAGGGGCGAGAGGGGAGAGAGGGGCGGGAGGGGCGGGAATCACCGGGGGTCAGCCGTCGGCGTCCGTATCCCGATCGGGACCAACACGGACGCCGACACCCGTCGTGGATGTCTAGGTGTTTTCGGGAAGGCGTGATTTCTTGTGCTGACAAACCACATAGTTTCGGGGCAAGGTTATCCCCGACTGGCTTGAAAACGTGTGTGGAACAGGTTTCGAACTGTTTTGTATTCAGAATAGGTCTAAGGGTTAGCTTCATGCAACGTGGGTAACAAACAGCAAGGGAGGGGGGGACGGGACGGGCGGGCGGACAGTTTATCGAGAAACCCGGGATGCTGTACTTGTATCCCCTGGGCTGTGCGTCTGTGTTTGTTTTCTCACCCAACGTGTTTTCTGGAACCTTCAATACGTTTCTCTTAAACGGCGTCCGTAGTACTTGCTCTCTGAACAGCTCGGAACGTTCGAGGAAGCGATGATACCGATCCATCTTGTCTAGTGCAGTTTGTCTAGCTCCTTCTTTCCACCCAAACCACTGCCACCAAATCCTTCAAGACCCACCCGGTAGGCCTATGCTGGACAGGTGATCATCAAAAACGACCGACATTGGAAAAACTCGCCTTATAAATGCGGAATTTGAATCACCGAAACAATGGTGGCCGATCACCGAAAAGGGGACGTCATCCCCGATATTATTGGGAGTACGCGATGGACAATTTCGTTCGCGCTGTTGGCAAAGAGTCACAACCCCGGAAACGTGAACAGGAGAAGAGGTATGTACGCTTTCTGTTGGCGTGAGTGTGAACGCTAGAAGCGATCGGGAGAGAGATTGAGCCCCCGCGGATCTTCAGTGACGTAGCAAATACTGTAGTTCACAATATTTGTGACGTGTTAAGAGACCGAAAAATACCGAATCTTGTGTTTCCATTAGGCTCAATTACGTTCTCTGAAGAATCCTTTGAAATGAACAGCGGTACTTACATTGTTGGAATTCACGTCGGATGTCCAAATTGGACGTCCCACTTCCGAATTAGATATCCAGTAACACGTTAGACATCCCATGGGACAACATTGGACGTCTAAAACGTCCCATGGGACGCGTGGATCGTCCCATGGGACGCGTGGAACGTCCACCTTGGACGTGGGACGTCCGATGGGACACGTGAGACGTCCATTGGGACACGTTGGACGTCCAATGGCGTGGGCGTGGGACGCCACGTGACATGCCGTTGGACATCCCACGAGGGTCCCATTGGACGTCCAACCCATCAAATAGGAGACATTGGCCTTGCCATTTGACGCCAGCGCCGACGGATGGAACCGTCATCACGCCGCCATTAGGGTGACCTAGCAGGAACCACAACTTCACGAGTGAAGCCGCATCCTATCTATGCGTACTGTCGCCTTCATCTGTTTGGCTTTTATGCGTCTGGGTGCTAAATCGCGCAGGACGTCCAGCTGGAACATCCAAGGCATCTCATCGGCAGAGTACGCTGGACCTCCCATGCATCGTCCCGTTTGATGTCCCACGTCAAAGTGGGGCGTCCTATGTATCCCATGGGATTTCGGACGTCCAACGGTGCCCCATGGGACGTCCAATATGTCCAATTGGACATCCAACGTGTCCAATGGAACGTTCGTTGGACATCCAACGTAAACTCCAATAGTGTCGGCCACTGAAAATGTACGATGCCGTGCGTCAAACATATTCTCGCTGAATTGCACAAGAACGATCTTGACCGCCGCTTTGAAGCTCTCTCAATGTCAGGCCCTACAAAGGATGCCGAACCGCGAAGGCCACCGTCCGGCCGAAGGGCATGATGTGAGGGAAACTCGTGAGGGGGGGGGAGGATCCAGGCTCTTGTGTCCGGAGCAGAACTGGCCCAGGTGCCAGAAGAACACCTTCCGATCGCTCGGCGCCAGAGACGAGTCTACGGATGGATGACGACTGCAGCACGCTTGGCGTCCCTCGCGCCATCTGGACTCTCGCCACGGAGGTGGAGAGAGGAGTGTCACGTTAGGCGGGGGTACTAGTGGGCGCGGATCACCCATCTCTGCCTGTATTTTGATCAACCGTCCAGGACGCGGTAGATGAACTACCGAAAAAATAACACAGCGGTAGTTGATTCCATTTGTTTTTCGCGAGTCTGTGTACACGACAGGCACAGTTGCCGCCCTTGTTGTTCCACGCCTTCATGTTTCATCGTTGCCCACCCATTTCGCTATGTTTCTACATGGGCATCGCAACTTGACTCGGGCAACCGTGCTGCTCCTCTACGAGGTTTTCGGGGAGGGGGGTTCTAGGTTGTCCAAGGACTCGATGCTGAGTCGTGCTGCAGGTGTGAGGACGAACGAGGTGGAAGAAACTCGGTGCGTTAGCAGTCACTTGCGACGCGATGAACGAACTCCAATCGATGGGCGAATTGCGTTGGTTGTTTCAACGTGGTGTCGCATTACTCGCTAACCTTTAGTGTTGCGATGTCAACAACTGCGTTTGATCTCGAGTGTGACATGAAGCAAAGAAGCATGATAGATTATGTGAGTTGCTACCAACGGGAATAAGGCCGCGAGCAAGGAAGAGAGAGTCAAGGCCATGCAAAAAAAAACAACCGGATATCCTCTGAATAAGGCAAGGCTGTTACGTCCACATCCATCGGACGAACGGGGTCTCTCTTCCCGCCGGAAGTGCACAAAATTATGCAGGTATATGATGTTTTTTTATGTCACGGATATTTTTTCAATGATCGCCCCAGGCCTGCAGAATGGTATTTTCTACAAAGAGGGCAAACAAACGACCAACGCTTTCGACGATCAATGCCGCAACATCACGCGAAAGGTGCTCCTCTCTTCCAAAGCCTGGCCTACGGTTTCCATTACAATCAATGCCTCTAGCCACCTCAAGGCCTCTCACCACGGCCGACAAAGTGACACACACAAAAGTATCTAAGTTGAAGCCGAGAGCATGCAGCCTGTTACGCCTCCACTGAAGTACACTGAAGGCGAAGATTGTCGAAGGACATCCATCGGCTACAGTAATCGTCTTCGCGTTGTTTCTACATCATCCTGTTAGCGTAACTCGTTCCTTCTTTTCCTCACCACTTGCCTGCGGCTGACAGTCAATCTGGCAGGGCACGGACTTTGCGTCGTTCGTTCATGGGTAGACTACTGCTTGTTGTGCGAATCGCTGTCCCTCACTTTGTCCTCTGCAGACCGTTGAAATTCACAGAATATGCGGATGCAAGGTATTGTGTCAAGAATATCACGTCGAAACTTTCGACTTCTCTGTTTCAGGATGCGCATCACAAGGCAGGGCATGCCGGGTATGAAACGAGAAAAACAAGTAGCCAACTGCGCGGCACGAAACGGAGAAATCGTGAAAACGCTCATTTTCGACACGACCGTTTTAAGTACGACTATGGACGACCCGATCCGATTCGGCCACCGGGCAATCTTTGACCAAACGAAAAAGCTTGTTGCTGTTGCGGTAGTTCCACGCAAAGGAGAGCGGGACGCACGAGCGTAACATTAGGCCGACCACCGCCCCGATGCGATAGTCCCCCTCGAACGTCCACTCCGCCATGTGCTGCGCGGCCTCGTTGGTCAGGAGAGCGACACACATAGTGACCAGCATTACGGCAGCCAGGACGAGGCAGAAGGACGCACAGCTACGACAGCATGAGGAAGACCCCAACAACTCGTGATCGATGCACGTGATGCGGTCCTCGCCAAGGATTCCCACCAACAGCACCCGTGCGTCGTGTGGTACAATGGGGTTTGAGATTTGACGTTTTCTTTTATCGCACGAGTCTATGGTCGCAAATCCAGGGCCGTGTGGCAGTCACATGTGACTGCCCTACAGACTCCCTCCCTCTTGACACCGTTCGTCTCCATTCCGAGTGGTCTAGCGTACAACATCTCAGCGTGCTTCAAACATTCTTGGGCGTGTGACGAGGCTCGCTGGTTGTGCCCTTCTCCATGACGAGGATGCAATCGAAGCGCTGGTCGTCTGACCACCCTTGGAAGAGCTCACCACCCGCTCTGTTGCATGTCTTAGCGTTGCGTTGTGTTCAGGACCCCGGGATTCCGAGACCATTTTCAAAAAACTCCGACCGAAGCCCATCCGGCGTCTCGCACCTTTACAAGAAGGACCACCGCATGGGAGAGGGAAGAGCGGGATTAGAGCCAGGCACGGCCAACAAGCGGCCAATTTAGTTGTATTGCGCCTAGCGTACAAGACTCGATCTCGCACGTAGCATCACAAACCGGCTGGCGACGCCCGGGTCAGCCCTAGGGTTGAGGTTGGTGTTGTACAGAACGCGGAGCATTCTTTTCTCGATCTTGTGGCTGGATCTGGGCGCATTTGACAGCCTGGTCGGAGGCGGAAGAACGAAGAGAGCGCCGTCACAGGCAGCGAAGGTGCCCTTGTAGGTGTAGAAGTACTTGATGCCGCCTTTCCCGCTTTTCTGGGCGAGTTTCTGACACCCAACCTGGGTGTGATATTCATTTTTTTGCGATGACCAGCGGAGGAAACGTTTTTGACATTGTACTAGAGCAAGTCTACATGTGAACAGCCTTGGTCATTTAGCCTACATTGTTGTGTTTGTTCAGGGGCGAGTGACCCCACCAACCCCCTGCGAAGAAAAACCATGCTGAACATGCGGTGGAATGGTGGGAGAGAAAAACACGATCCGCAGAAACCCCGACCTCAAAATATCCGTGTAGAAATTCATCCCAAGTTTACCGACGTGACATGGACCACACGACCGTTTCGTACGAGTGTGATTTTGATATATCCTCGCCTTCACGCAAGCTGCCTTCACGAGCCTTGACGGCTGCGGCTCTACCAGGAGTTCACTCAGGAGGCCGGCCCTCCTCGATGGGGAAAAAAAACGGGGAAGTACATGCACAAGATGCTCCAAAACGCCACGAACATGCCCGGCACAATAAGCCCCATACTCGGGTTCACACAGAGGTCGTATTTCATCCGGCTCCAGCAATCGTTGATCGGAGCTTCGAAGTACCCGGGGTACCCTTTGACGGTGCCTTTGTACTGCCAGGCCCCCCACGTGTTGTTTTGGGACGTAGACTCCACCGCCGACATTCGTTGGCACGATCCGGTTGAGGGGTCAAAGCTCCACGCCGCGCAAGTGGTCTCGGTGTTTGCACCATCGTCGTCACCACCGCCGCTGCAAAGCGCGCAGCAATCCGGCCAGTCCAGCGGAGCGTCTAGCACCACCGGCTCGCCGTTGGGCGAGCCGCCCAGGCCACCCCACCAGGCGTCACATCGATCCCACTCTTTCCAGGCGGCCCCTTCGTCTTCCCATTCAGGAAGGGTATTGTCCGTCTTGAAGCCCTCAGGGATGTACAGACTGTCTCCCGGGCAGTCCGGCGGGGAGGTCACCTAGGAGAACGCAGAGTCAAGGTCAGGAACGCCACGGGACAGCGTGTTGCAAGAGCCTGTATTGTGTATTTTGACCTCCTGGAACCAACAAGCATCCCGATGGTCTTCCTTGATCCACCAGGTGTTGGAGACGTCCCATCTCTCAGGGCGGCAAGGGTCCCAAGCATTCATTCAGCAACAATGATGACGATGCTCAAAGCTTTATTCAACATAAACGTGCTCTGTCTACGTATCAACGTTGATTGGCTCTGGCTCCTCATATGCGGGCTGCACCGGCCGATGCGACCCTAAATATTATGTTCGGCAGCGCGTCCCGGTTGTTCTACTTGAGCCGGGCAAGGGGACACGTGACGTTGGAAGGCCACGCGTTGAAGCGAATGCCCTATTCACGTAGCACCACATCCTCTCGTAGCCTGCACCTTGAAGGTCAACGTGCGCACCACATCCGGTGAAGGAGTAGCCCTCGCATCTGTTCGAGTAGGGCAGGAAAGACGGTAAAACCAGTGAACCAGTGAATCGATCGCACTACACCGAATATGATGTGTTCACCGGCATTTTCAAGGATTTGTAGTTGAGGGCACCCGTAACGAGACCGACGTTTGTCGGCTCGCCGCTCGGTTTTACAAGCTTCTTGGAATGTTTCGGTAAGAGCGCGCCTGTATACAGAAAGGCACTGGTGTGTACGGTGGTGACATATCAAACACGCTTCGAACATGGGCGTATCCATTCCTCGCGCTTCACCACATCGAGTCACACCTCCCCTTCGGCACTAACAAAACAGAATTCGCGGCGCATCGTTCCGGAGGTATAGCCTGTGACTACGACCCTGGATGGGCGGCTCACCTTGTATCTGCATTGCCTGACCGCCCGTCGACGGAGCATGTACAGGCTGCAGTGATGCCGGTGATGGGAAAAGCAGCGCCCGCCAGCGTTTGGGTCTGCTCCATCGTGCGCGCGCGAGAAGGGTTCAGCCGTCTTATCCCCTGGGTGTTCGTGTTTATACTTACGAAATACAGTAGTCTATTTGTTTGCCCACCTCAAAATGCAAAGCTTCTCTCACACTCCAACACGGAATCGAATTCCGATCTACCACTATCATTTGTAGGAGTACGAGCATCGATCACAACACTGCCCGAGTGGCTGTTGTGTTGCGATCGAATTAGCGCCGCAAAGGGCGTGCGAGATACTTCTACAACGAAGTGAGTGCACCACCAGCGGAAGCACTCGACGGCGATAGAGAGGCTGGGTGCTGCCGGATCAAAAGAAATAACACCTGGTCTATCTTGTAGCCCGGCAGCAGATATCTCGTGCAGAGAGAGAGTTTTTGATGGATGGTGCGACGATGTGACCGATCAAAATCAGCCCGCCGCTCCGCCCGCCGCTCTCCGTTTCTGCTCTTCTTCCTGATGCCGCCCTCAACCATTCTACCCGGGTTGTTTCCCACTCTCGACTGTGCTCTCCTTGTGGGTGGAAGCGGTGCGCACGCCGGGCGGTACAGCTGCTGGGGCTGTTTGAAAAGCTCGTGCTTCACTCGGATGCCGTTAGACTACACGTCACAAGTCTGTCGGTGCGGCGAAATATGCACGAGACTGTCGACGACGAGTAGATGTCCAGCAGGACCTCTGTGGAAGAGAGGAATTGGATGCTTGGGAAATAATACAGAAACACGAGTACATGCAATCAGAGACAGACTGCCCGCTCGACAACACCACAGTAGTCCAAAAGGATGGGTTGAAGTCTGTTCAGTGAGTGGCTGAACAACGGGGCTGGCTTTGTTGTTGCTGAGAGAAAATCAGAGAAAGTTGTGTGGCGCACGAGACAGACCAACGTTCTCCATCATTTTTCTGGGAACCCAAGTGACCCTGGCGCTCGCCCAGTAGAAAATCGCCCCCTTCTTCCAACGCACGAAAAACAAGTGTACCAAACGTCTGTCCCCAGGGAGCACATGCAAGCCACTCGCAAGGCACGGGGGGTGCATCGTCTCTGTTCGAGCCGATCCGAGCCACTTCACCAGACCAAAAACGGTGAAGAGGCAACACCGGGAATGAAGGCCTTCTTTCATACCTCTCGCGGACAGTAAGGAATTTTGGAAAACCTTGTGCCACAGCTGCAGTGATACTGACTCAAGAGCACTCTTCCTTGTGAAATGAGTATTATGGATTGTTCTATTTCATTTCGCGGCGGCTGCTTCGGCAATCGGGCCTGTGGTAGGCTCAAGTTCAGAAGTTGGTATTAGTGAAATCGTGCCTGTGGTAGGCGAAGTTCAGATGTTGGTAGTGACATGAGTCGACAAGTGGCGCCGACCAATCGGGAAACTTCACGCTGGCAATACATCGTTTGGCCGCGTTTGAAAATCAGCCAGCGACAAGGTCAATAGTTCGAATCCGCGCGGGGGCACCTCGGGTGACACAAGCCGATAATGCGGCAGTCGCGGAACACGTCCAATGTTATCTCGTTGGTCGCCAACCCGTCATCTTGAATCCGGGCGTCCTTGTTACGCGAAAAAAACTCAAAGGTCGATAACTGTGGCAACTGCACGTCACAATACCGATGTGCTTCTCGTTGACAACAATAGCAAGCATTTAAGGCAGGCTATTGTATGGTTGACGCGTGCTGTATCGCGCGAGATAGTGGCGACTCTCTTCATCTTCACACAGCATCGTAAAAAAGCAAAGTAGCGATGGGAAAAATTCGAGTGAAATCGCAGCCCCTGTCGCTCAACACTCGGCAGAAACAAAGTGACAGCAAAAACATTGCTCGCCCGCAAAAACGACCCGTGAGCCGCAACAAAATGAGGAATTTCATTGACAGTCAGTCGCCGGCGGAGGCCTGGGACAACACGACTCCTCCTACCACAATGCTAGGGCTCTGAGGCAAAGGCCCATAGCGATGAGAGGCCACCGAGTGGTGTGGCGCCAATCGCCTTGCAAGCTTGACATACGAAACACGCTCGAAATCACCAACGAGCGGCGCGGTCCAGGTCAACCAAACCAGTTTTGGTTTTCCACACTCTACATATATCAGTACAAATCATGGTCTGCACGCAGCCCCGGGGACGACCTGCCCATGAACAACTAACTACCTGGAACGTTGGAGCCTCACCGAAGCATGCCATCCCTGCGTCCACTCGGTATCGTGCCTGACATACACACGTTTTTCCCTCCTCGAAAGCATTGGGGACTTCATGATGTACGCAAAACGCCACGATTGTTCTTCATAAGAGTAACATGCACCCACGCACATCGTCGCTTGCGAAATAGAACAGGCTGACTGAACTGCAGCCCCCCCCCTGAGCCTCGACAGTCATACATTTCACCGACGTTGACTTCCCTGACATCACCGCAGAAAAACAAAATGGGGCCTCAAAACAAGGCCCAAAACAAATCATAACAATAACAACACGTTACTCACAACCACAACCGGATCTATCACCCAAAAAAATCACAACAAAGACCTTCACACATAAATTGCTTAGTACTTATCACCACAGCAGGAGCAGTATCGGCATCAATTCACCTCAGAGATGAACGGAACCGCAACCTTAAGAACCCAACAGAACACAAGCAGCATGACATATACGACATCGTCATGTTTGATCTTCGGCTGAGACCACGCCGTCCTCTACCAGGGTTGCAAGCTCCGGCCGCGAATCGTGCGGCGCTACGGATATTCTAGCGTCAGCAGCACTTGCGGCCGCAGCGGGCGGTCTCGATGAGACTCGGGCTGCCGCTGGCGCCGCCTGCTGAGGCTGTCTCGCTGTCTGGCGAGCAGATTCGGTTTCCCCTGCCCTAGGGCGACCAAGGTTGAAGGCCCTGTGTCGGGAGAAGAGACGGGGGCGTTTCGCGTGGCTTAGCGATTTGACAATAAAAGACGCGTGCTCGAGAAGACGGAGCATTCGGTCCCTCCGGAGCGATCACCAATGATTCCTTCGTACTTTGCCGAAGGTGGCTCGGAAGAAACCTCTCTGGGGGCGAGAGGGATTCAGGAAGATATGAGATGGATGTAAGGTAAAACAAACTACACAGAGAGACTCTGGGCGGTGTACTTGTGGCCCAAGGCCCCTTGGTGTTGTATTCTTCGTTGCGATTACATTGATCGAGTTCAGGGGCAACGCGTCTCTGAGGGCCTCTCCCTTTGAGCCTTGTTTGTACATACCACGAGGGAGGTAGCACCGTGAAAAAATCATTCAGAAATTATCTGATCGATTCGAACCACAGAGACGAAAAAGGACCCAAAGGTGGCCGTCCTCTATTGTAGGACCCCGGTTGTTCGATGCGTCAACACACATTCCGAAAGGTGAAGACTGGCGTTGCCCACAATAGATGGCATGAGGAAAAAAGAACAGTACAAGTGGAATGGTGTTCTGATGGGCGGCTACGGGCGGGGGGTTCGTGATCAACGCTAGAAGAAAAGCAAACAACACTCGCAGGTGCAGCTGTCGTACATACACGCCAGATCTCACGGGTCATTTCGAGCAGGCTGCGTCGTTCGTCCTTTCAATGGTGAACTCTTCCACCGTTTTCTGTGGTGGCTCGTTTCGTACGCTCTCGTGTGCCTTGTCACAAGCCGCACCACAACAGCAACAGCGGAACACACTTAGACTACCGCAAGTGGTTGCAATCACAGACAAAAGCAAGATACACCAGACACCCGCACAGACTTACCCCCCGCCCCCCGCCCCATTTCGAACGATATGCACGGTATCACGTGTGTCCGGAACGTGGAACAGCACTTGCTGTCAAAAGTATGCATACCTGGTGAAAAAGCCCCGAATCTCGTCAACTTGCGCTTCCTCCTCCTCCTCCGACCCGTCCTTTCCAACCCCGATAATCGCGCTGCGCACGGCGTCGGGGTCGTATGTCCACCAACACCTCTCGTGGGCGCCGCGGACGACTCCGGGGGCGGCCACGATGCCCTGGAGCGCCACCGCCCTTGACACCTGAAGGACAAGAAAAAATGTCGGGAAGGATGACGGTTGTGTGCATGTTTTGAAAACTCGTGTTGTTGACGTTTTTTGGGTTGGGGTACTGGCGTGCCTATCGATATCGTCCGCCATCGGTTGCTGGGCGGTGTTCATGGCCTCCCGGCAAAAAGAGACGGTCTGGTCTCGTTCTACAAGTGCGTCCATGTTGCGTACGGACCAAAACAGCCGCCCATCATCGAGCCAGCCGCACACAAAGGAGAGGAAGGCGTACGCGCGAGCAGATAGACTCGGCAAGCGTGGGAACGCGATATAGCCTACATTGGGACCCAAACCAAAGGTGTGTGTGGGGGGGGTGTACTCAAAGTCGTGCATGCCGTAGTCGTTAGACCATTGACCTCGCATCCCTACAAAGCCGGGACGGAGCACGCCGGGTTCTCACCGGACCAGGCTCTCACATCATCAAGCGCGAAGCGCCGTGAGATATCCGGCGAGTGGCATGAAGGGTGCGGTGCATCCTGCTAAGGGTGTTCGGCATCTTGTGCTTACTTCCTTGCGTGCG